CTTAGTTTGCAAATGGTAAAGCGATTTTCTTCTAAAACACAAATTGTTTCTTACTATGCAGAATATTATCCTAATCACCACACTTCTATCACCCTGTCACTTATAATACTGTTATAAACCAACCACTAAGTGGCCTTTCCACTTAGAATTTCTTCATGTATCTTAGATTTGTTTCCTTAATCTTTCATGGCAAAGTATATAAATCTGTCTATCTAATATGGAAGAACTTCTCCTAACTCTGGTGCAGCAACCATTGACCATGCTCTTTCACATAAATTCTAGAATGACGACACAGCATCAAATATGAGTTAAATTATATTAATATTTGCTTTTGAAAATATATTAAATTCTTTTAACATAAAAAAGTAGAAGGAGCTAGACTGTACAGCTCTCAGAGAGAGGAACGCAAGGTATACGTAGATACAGCACCTTCAACGGAAACATCCAAGTACTTGCATTGGAATAATGGAAGAAACAACTTACAGAGAATGGAGTAAAGCAAGGCAGGACAATGGCCACCCAGGAACAACATGGAGCCAAGGGAACCTCCCCACCCAGTAGAGCAGTGAGTGCATGTGTGACCCTAGGAACCCATGATTCTCCCACAGATCTGTGCAACCTTCAGGTGAGAAGATACCCTCATGAACCCATTTCACCAAGGCCTTCAGTTTAACAGACAAAGCTACATGGAGTCTCAGCAGAGCAGCCACTGAGGCCTGCACATAGACTCAAGAGTTTTAGATACTCTGGCTTTCCAAGCTTCCCAGAAAAAGTAGCTGCCAACTCCAGCAAAGCAGGAGGTTACACACCTGTACATACCCATAGGAAAAAGGTGGAACCCAGATGGCTGAGCAGTGATGGTATGTAGGACCCACTTCCACAGTGCCTCACAGGGTAAGACCTACTGGCTTAGAATTCCAGCCAACCACTGGTAGCAGCACTGCACCCCCCAGGGATGGAGCTACCAGAAAGAGGAGGGGGCCACCATCTTTGCTTCTTGGGCAACTTAGCCATTCCAGCCTTTATGCTTTGAAGAGCCCAAGCTGACTGGGGGCAGAAAGGATCTCCTAACACAGTACAGGTGCTCTAAAAAGACATGGCCAGACTATCTGTTAAAGCAGTTCCCCAATCTTGTTCCTCCTCACCGCAAAGTACTTCCCAACCAGGGTCTCCAGCTACCACCACTGGTGCTCTTTGGTCAATGGAGTTTTGAATCATCTTTGGGATACAGTTCCTAGAGGGAAGAGTGAGCTGCCATTTTTGCTGTTTGTGTGACTTAGCTGTTCCAGTCTTCTGGCTTTGGAGAGTCCAAATAAACTGGGGGTGAAAGTGGCACCTCTGCACAGCAGAGCTATCCTACAAAAACATGGCTAGACTGCTTTTTTTTTTTTTTTTTTTTGAGACGGAGTCTCACTCTGTTGCTGGGCTGGAGGGCAGTGGCATGATCTTGGCTCACTGGAACCTCCGCCTCCTGGATTCAAGCAATTCTCCTGCCTCAGACTCCCAAGTAGCTGAGACTACAGGTGTATGCCACCACACCTGGCTAATTTTCTTTTTTTGTATTTTAGTAGAGATGGAATTTCACCATGTTGCCCAGGCTGGTCTTGAACTCCTGAGCTCAGGCAATGCACCTGCCTCGGCCTCCCAAGGTGCTAGGATTACAGGCGTGAGCCACTGCACCCAGCCTACACTGCTTTCTTAAGTGGGTCCCCAATCGTGTTCTCCTCATTGGCTAAGACTTTTCAACAAGGGTTTCCCAGTACCTCCTACAGGTGCTTTGGGGCTGGAAACAGGTTTATACTTCCCTGGGATGGAGCTCTTAGAGAAAAGGGCATGCTGCCATTGTTGCTGTTTTGCAGAATTCAGTGGTGTTAAAGTCAGGTACTGGAAAATCTGAGGTGACTAGAAACTGCAGTGGACACCAGCACACTGCAGCAGCCCTTCAGAAAAGTGGCCAGACTGTGACGTGAGTGCCTTTTCTCATATATTCTCACCGGGCAGGTTCTCCAGGCCTGGGCCACTAGCCAATTTTTTCCAGAGCTATTGAGCCAGTAGCAACTTAGCAACTCCCGGGACAGAGCCTCCAGGGGCAACTGAAAATATTTCTGCCACTGCCTCTGCAGTAGAACTGTCCTTGATACCCTCAGACTCATGAAAAATCCAAAACCCTAAGTGCCTTACTCACACCTCAAACAACCTGCAGTTTACCCAAGAAGAGGAGGCCAGTCCATCCTCCATGGGTCCCACAAACAACACACTACTCATCACCAAACAGTGAACAACTGACTTGGCCAAAAGCACAGATCCTCCATCCTGGGTGGACTGCACTGAGTGGTTGCTGGCCTACACATCTCTGACATGCATCCCCCAGAAGTCAAGCAAAGAGGTGGGGCAGCAAACCAACTCATGTGGTGCCCAGAGGGTTGAGCGCAAGAGCATCTGTAATAAAGTGTGGCCACTGATGGCCGTATCTCCAGGCTCAACTTTCTCTCGTAAGAGTCTTTATCCTTAGAACTGTTGGACCTAATTTCTGCAGGATGGTCTTGCAAATCTGAAGAAGCTGGTCCAACTGAGCACTCCTTGGTCTGCTGGCCTCTCCCAGGGACCCAGTCTGGCCACAGCTGCTCACAGAGCAGTCTCAGGTACATTAGGAGCCCAGACCAGAGCACATGCATTGGTGGGCCATGCCTGACCCATGAAGAGCTCCAGCAAGGCAGCCCCTATGACTGTACCAGCCCACGTGTTTCTTCCCCATACTGCAACTTCGAAGTCCAAGACCATGGCAACTCCCTATATGACTTTGCTGGCGCATGTCTGCAAAGGTGAGTTTGGCTTTGCTTGTCCCACCATCAAATGGAAATGCAATATGCCCCTGCAACCCCCAGCAATTGCCATTGTAGATGAAGCTTTGGTGAGTAGAGAGCTAGAAAGTCCCACTCTGGCCTTTGTGGTAACACTGTGTGGAGAACTGGGTATCTTCCCACACTCTGAACAATCACTGCTTCTTGGGGGACACAGAGAAGGCATCAAAACCTTCACTGGCCAGCATCCTGCCCCAAGTCAACATCACCCTTAGTGCAACAGCACACACAGTCTCTCTCGCAGGTAATCCCGACTCCCCTCCCAGCTGCTTTGCTCCTGTCACTGAGGTAAATACCCAAAAAGACAGGCAGAAACCCCATATCCACCAGCACTCTGCTACAGCTGTGGCATCTTAGTTTCAGAGTGGCAGATTCCAAATCACAAGGAGCCACAGAACACAGCTGGGGCTCAATACAAGTCCCCCAGAGTTAGAGCATACAGACTCTGAGTTGTGAGCTGAGCATTGCCTCCTCTCCACCAAAAAAAACAACTCCCAGTAACAAAGCTTGTTGGCTGAATCCACCTTTTACTACAATCAAATACTCAAGACCATCAAATAGGATCCAGAAAACCAAAACCCCATTCAAGGTTCAGCAACTTCAAAGATATCCCCACATGGATGAGAGAAAATCAGTGCAAAAATGTTGAAAACACAAAAAGCCAGAGTGACTTCTTTCATCCAAATGACCAAATTACATTTCCAGCATGGCCTAAGATGACAGAAGCAAAATTCAGAATATGGATAGAAACAAACTTCATTGAGCTACAAAAGTAAGTTGCAACCCAATGCAATGAAGGACAAAATTGCAGGAACTGATGGAAAAAACAACCAGTCTAGAGAAAAATATGGCCAAAGTAATAGAGCTGCAAAACACAATACAAAACCTTCATAATGTAATCACAAGTATTAATAGAAGAATACGCCAGGCAGAGGGAAGAATCTCAGAGCCTCAAGACTGGCTTTCTGAAATAAGACAGACAAGAATAGTGAAGAAAGCATAAAGCAGAATGAACAAAACCTCTAAGAAATATGGGATTATGTGAAGAAACTAAATCTATGATTAAAGAGAGTGCCTGAAAGCAATGGGGAGTATGAAAACAACTTGAAATACTATTTCAGGATAACATCCATGAGAACTTCCCTAACCTAGACACAGAGGCCAACATTCAAAGGCAGAAAATGTGGAGAACTCCAGTGAGATACCCCATAAGGTGGTCGTCCCCAAGATACATACTCATGAGATTCTCCAAGGTGAAAATCAAAGAAAAAATATGTTAAAGGCAGCTAGAGAGAAAGGCCAGGTCACCACTAAAAAGAAGCCCATCAGACAACAACGAACCTTTCAGCCAAAATCCTACAAGTCAGAAGAGATTAAGGGCCAATATTCAGCATTCTTAAAAAAGAATTCTAACTCAGAAGTTCATATCCAGCCAAAGTAACCTTCAGAATGAAAAAATAAATATGATCATATTCAGGTAACCAACAGCTGAGGAAATCTGTTACCACAAGACCTGACTTACAAGAGCTTCTGAAGAAAGCACTAAATAAGAAAGACTATTACTAGTCACTACAAAAACATACTAAAGTACACAAACTGCTGACACGATAAAGCCACCACATAAAAAAATGTGCAAAATAGCCAGCCAAGATCATACTGACAGAATCAAATCCACACATATGAATACTAACCCTAAATGTAAATGGGCTAAACACCCCAATTAAAAAACAGAGTAGCAAGCTGAATAAAGAATCAAGATCTAACGGTATGCTGTAATCAAGACACCCTTCTCAAATAAGCTCAAAAGAAAGGGAAAAAGAAAAATCTACCAAGCAAATAGAAAACAGAAAAAGAGCAGAGATTCCAATCCTAGTTTCTGGAAAAAGAAACTTTAAGTCTACACAGATTTAACAAAAACAAACAAACAAACAAAAAAAGACAAAGAGGGGCATTACATAATAGTAAAGGGGTATATATGTGACCAACACAAAAGCACCCAGATTATAAAGCAAGTTCTTAGAGACCCTCCAATATGTTGAATGTTCTTCAACAGTCATTACATTTATACTGCATTTGCTCAGCATTAAGCCTCTGATGTTGAACACACTATGATGACTTGTTAAAGCCTTCTCCACATTTTTAACACTTGTGGAGCTTCTCTCTAGTATGAATTCTCTTATGTCTAATGAAGTGTGAGAACGAGCTTGATGCTTTGCCACATTCTTCTCATTTGTAGGGTTTCTCTCCAGTGTGAATTCTCTTATGATTAGTAAGGACTGAGAAGCACTTAAAGGTTTTGCCACATTCTTCACATTTGTAAGGTCTCTCTTCCATATGAATTCTCTTGTAGTTAGTAAGGGTTGAGGAGCGGGTAAAGGCTTTGCCACATTCTTCACAGATGTAGGGTTTCTCTCCAGTATGAATTCTCTTATGTTGACTAAGGGCCAAGATACACATAAAAGCCTTTCCACATTCATTACATTTGTAGGGTTTCTCTCCAATATGAATTCTCTTATGTTGACTAAGGGAGAAGATCGATGTAAAAGCTTTTCCACATTCATTACATTTGTAGGTTTCTCTCCAGTATGAATTCTCTTATGTCGAGCAAGGTGTGAGAACCACCTGTAGGCTTTGTTACATTCTTCACATTTGTAGGGTCTCTCTTCCATATGAATTCTCTTGTGGCTATTAAGGGTTGAGGAGCAGGTAAAGGCTTTGCCACATTCTTCACAGGTGTAGGGTTTCTCTCCAGTATGAATTCTCTTATGTTGACCAAGGGAAGTGAGCCATGTAAAAGCTTTTCCACATTCATCCTTTATAGGGTTTCTTTCCAGTATGAATGATCTTATGTTTAGCAAGGTGTGAGAACCACCTGTAGGCTTTGTTACATCCTCACATTTGTAGGGTCTGTCTTCCGTATGAATTCTCTTGTGGCTATTAAGAATTGAGGAGTGCATAAAGGCTTTGCCACATTCTTCACAGATGTAGGGTTTCTCTCCGCTATGAATTCTCTTATGTTGACTAAGGGCCGAGATACATGTAAAAGTGTTTCCACATTCATTACATTTGTAGGGTTTCTTTCAGTGTGAATTCTCTTATGTTTAGTAAGGTCTAAGAAGCATGTAAATGTTTTGCCACATCCTTCACAGATGTAGGGTTTCTCTCCAGTATGAATTTTCTTACGTTGACTAACGGCTGAGATCCACATAAAAGCTTTTCCACATTCATTACATTTGTAGGGTTTCTCTCCAGTATGAATTATCTTATGTTTAGCAAGGTGTGAGAACCACCTGTAGGCTTTGTGACATTCGTCACATTCGTAGGGTCTATCTCCAGTATGAATTCTCTTGTGTTTAATAAGGGTTAAGGAGCAGGTAAAGGTTTTGCCACATTCTTCACATTTGTAGGGGTTCTCTTCAGTATGAACTCTACTATGTTTAGTAAGGTTTGAGAACTTTTTAAAAACTTTAGCACATTCTTCACATTTGTAGCATCTCTCTGCAGTATGGATTCTCTTCTGTATGGTAAAATCTGACAACCTACAGTCTTTGCCACATTCTTCACATTTGTAACATTTCTCTCTGCTAAAAATTTTCTTATGTTCAGTGAAGACTGAGCACAACTCAAAAGCTTTGCAACATTTATTACATTGACAGGTTTTGCTATGGGTAGTTGACAAACATTGATCAACGCCATTGTAACTGCTTTTCTGCCCCTTTCAACTACCCACACTTTGGTAGTCTTTCTTTAAATGTAAAGTATTAAGGTCACAGCTTCCATGCTTTCTAAGAATCATCTTTTGAAATGAATCTTTTATGTCATGCTCTGGCAATACCTCTGCAGTAAAATGAAAAGAGCCAGTTGAAAAAAAAAAAAAGAACAAAATTTCTCCCTCATTACACTCAGGTGAATACACTTTACAAATATAGAACTACACAAAGCACATTAACAAGGTGACACAATAAAATATCACAGGCTGTTAATTCCTTTATAGACATATAAACTTAACAGAAATATACTGACCAAAATGCCTTTGTGAGAAGTCTAAGAAGCACCCCAAGTGAGCAAAATGCAAAGAACCACACAGAAGTGTAATAAAAGTATTTCATATTTACCCACCACAGCCATTCTTCATCCCATGACGACCTTAAATATACACTCCCAACTCCTGTCTTCCCCCTCCAAAACTAAATAAAATAGTGATACCTATGTCCACGCTTCTGGTTTTTTGAGACCTTACTAAAGACTAATTTCTGTATTCCATGACAGTGTTGGAAGGAAAGGTGGTATACTTTGACAGTTTTGGACAGCGGAGACCAAAGGTAAATGACTGTTACAAGAGAGGAAAGACTTCAGTATCACAGACAGACAATGGATATAGCAAGTGACTACAGGATCTCAATAAGAAACATGAGGAATGGCCAGGAGCAGTGGCTCATGCCTGTAATCCCAGCACTTTGGGAGGCTGAGGCGGGCAGACCACCTGAGGTCAGAAGTCAAGACCAGCCAGGTCAACATGGTGAAACCCATCTCTACTAAAAATACAAAAATTAGCTGAGTGTGGTGGCAGGCGCCTGTAATCTCAGCTACTCAGAAGGCTGAGGCAGGAGAATCACTTTAACTCAGGAGGTGTGGGTTGCAGTTAGTCAAGATCACACCAGTGCACTCCAGCCTGGGCAACAAGAGTGAAACTCTGACTAAAAAAAAAAAAAAAGGAAAATCTTTTTTAACTAAAAACACATTCCCAGAGAAAATATCCATAGTACCAGCTTGACAGACTCCAAGAATCTCCAGCCTAAAAAACTGGTATCATATTTCCCCAGACAAAAGCCACTTAACAAAGATCTTGACATGTGGCTTTTTATTATACAAATTAGAACCTAAGAGTACAACAAAAAAATTCTAAGCAAGAATGCTGTATCCAGCAAAAGTGTCCTTCAAAATGAAAAAAAAAATCTAACCATATTATGATCTATATCAAGACCTAATTATGTCATGTCTTCAAGAGACTCACTTCAGAGCTAACAAAAAAAATAGACTGAAAATGTCTGGATGAAAAATACATTCCATGCAAGTGTTAACCAAATGAGAGGAGAAGAGGTAACAATTTATTAACTCGAAAACTCTCATATTTCATATAATTGAAGTCAAAAGTCACAAGAGAGAAAGTATTCAATTATAGCAGGAGGGTTCATTCACTCAGAATCTATAAATATATCTGACAGTTTTCACAGACACATAGAGCAAACATTGACAGAATTTAAGCAAAATTAGACAGCAATATAATAATGGAAGGATACATCAATATCTCACTTTCAGGAATAAATAATAAAGACAGAATATCAATAAAGGAACAAAAAACTTGAATGCACTACAAAATAATTACACCTAACAAACGTACAGACAGCAAAATACATATTCTTTTCAATAACTCATGAAACATTTTCCTAGATAGACCACCTGTGACACCACAAAAGAAGTCTTAACAATTTTTTAATTGAAATTTTACAATTATTTATGGCCTAAGTGGAATGAAACTAGAAGTAACAGAAGAAATGCTGAAACATTTAAAAATATATAAAAATTAAAACACATACTCTTTTGCTTTTCTTTTTTTTTTTTTTGAGATGGAGTCTCACTCTGCCACCAGGCTGGAGGTGCAGTGGCATGATCTCGGCTCACTGCAACCTCCACCTCCCAAGTTCAAGCGACTCCCCTGCCCCAGCCTCCCAAGTAGCTGGGACTACAGACGTGCACTCCCATGCCCAGCTAATTTTTTTGCATTTTAGTAAAGACAGGGTTTCACCAGGTTGGCCAGGATGGTCTCAACCTCCTGACTTCATGATCTGCCCACCTTGGCCTCCCAAAGTGCTGGGATTACAGGCGTGAGCCACCACACCCAGCCAACAACACACTTCTGAGCATGCTCTTTTTCAAGGGTTGGAAGACATAATATTGTGAAGATGTCCATGCTGCTTAAAGTGACCCACACATTCAACACACCCCTTTTCAATTCTAAATTTTACTTTTCCAAAAATAGAAAAAAAAAACCCTCACAAAATTACACAAGATCTCAAGGGACCATGAAAAGCCTGACAATCTTTAAATAGAAGACAAATATTGGAAGCATTACACTTAATAATTTTCAAACACAAAACAAACCTATAGTAATCAAAGCACTTTGGTATTGGTATAAAGGTAGAACACCAATTGGTATAAAGGTAGAACACCAAAGTAATGAAACAAAATGCAGCACAGACATAAACTCTGGAATATACGGTCAAGTGAGTTATTTGAACACCACACTGAAGCATTATTCACAAAAGCCAATAGGTAAAATTAGTTTAAACTTTCCTTACCAAATGGATAAATATAATTTAAAATACAAAAAAAGGAATATTAATTAGCTTTTTAAAAAGCAAGAAATCTTCTAATATCTATTATAAAGACAAATTTTGAAGACATCATGCTAAATTTAATAAGCCAGACACACACACACACACACACACACAAATACTGTATGAATCTACTTACATGGAATATCTAAAATAGTTACATTCTTAAAAATAGAAAATAGAATGACGTTTGTAAAGGGCCAGACAATGGGAAAAATGAGTAGTGGATTCATGAGTATAGCATATTTCTTTTATAAAAACAAAAATGCTCTAAAGATATGTTGCTAACAAAGTCAATATACTTAACAAAGCTGAACTACATAATTGAAAACATTAAAGATTATAAAAGTGCTTTCTCTCTCTCTCTTTCTCTCTCTCTCTCTCTCTCTCTCTCTATATATATATATATATATATATTTTAAGATGGAGTTTCACTTTTGATGCCTAGGCTGGAGTGCAGTGGCACAATCTCGGCTAACTGCAACCTCTGCCTCCCAGGTCCAGGCGATTCTCCTGCCTCAGCCTCCGGAGTAGCTGGGATTACAGGCATGTACCACCACACCTGGCTAATTTTGTATTTTTACTAGAGATAGGGTTTCACCATGTTGGCCAGGCTGGTCTTGAACTTCTGACCTCGGGTGATCCACCCTCCTTGACCTACCAAAGTGCAGCGATTACAGGTGTGAGCCACCACGCCTGGCCCTTGTATTTTTCACAATTAACAACAAAACAATCATTGACTAATAACAATAACAGCAACAAAAAGCAAATACACAAGTCATAAAATGGGGGCAATGTTTTACACAGTCAAATAAACACAGAAATAATTATATTGGCAATATATGGATGACTGATTCATATTGGTATATTATGCACTGCTAAGTTTTGGGATATTGCTGCTACTACTCAGGTAGATAGCACAGTACCCAACAGGTAGCTTTTCAGGTCTTGTCTCTTTACTCTCTTCCTCCTCTAGTGGTCCCCAGCATCTATTGTTTCCATCTTTATATCCATGTATACCCAATATTTAGCTCTCACTTATAAGTAAGAACATGCCGTATTTGGCTTTCTATTTTTGCATTAATTTACTTCAGATAATGGCTTTCGGCTGCATCAATGTTACAACAAAAAATATAACTTTTTTTGACTGTGTAGTATTTCACAGCATATAGGTACCACATATTTATCCACTCCGCCACTGATGGGCAACTAGATTGATTTCATGTCATTGCTATTGAAGACAATAAAGTTTGAATCACTAGTACATAGTGAAAGCAATAACATTTTAAAGAAAATGCATTACAATCATTCATAAAAAACTTTGATGAGAAAATAGGAAGAAATAGGCCCTTAACACTGGACATATCTATTATGTCATTAATATATAGCTGCTATTTTAACACAAAATGTAAAGGCAATAAGGTGACCTTTGGAAGCAAAGCAAAGCATTACATTACTAAATAATATAAACAACATAAATATAGTACAATATGATATAAAATAAAATGAACAATTAGAAATAAGTTTATACAATTATGTAGACAAAGTTTGAGAAAAGTTGATGAAAATACTGATAACTTTTTGTATGTAGTAAACATAAACATATAAAAAAGATTTTAATATATGTGGTGTGCCTATTAATTATCTAATTCACTTTTCATATAACATACATTTAAGCACATTAGCTCAGAACTTGTGAAATTACAGGCATAGTTGGTATACAGCAAACCAGAAAGAAAAAATACATATATAGGACACAGCCCAAGTAATCTTCATAGTAAAGATAAAATTTAAAAAATAATAGTTATTAATAGGTAACAATTTGGAAATTATATGCTGGACAGTGTTCTAAGTAACCTATGGTATTAGTGTTTTTAGGAATTCTGTGAGCTGGGTAGATAAAATCAACTATTCCACAGTAGAGGTATTTGCCATATAGCATTTAAATTTCTAAACTTAGTTCCTGCTTTAAAAAAGATACTTTCAAAGTGAAATAGGTATTTAGATTTTCTTATACTTAATCAGATGCTTTAGGCTCTGATAAAAGTTCTCACTTTCATTTTCCGTATAATGAATTGACTGGAAATTATAAAGCAGAAAACATATGACATCTGTCCCTAGCCTCTCTCAAATCTCTTGACCAAATCTCAATGTCTTCCTACTTCTCTCACAGATGTCTAACATAAGACACAAACAGATTTTTAAAAACAGCTTAACATAGTGGTCTCCAAAAATTTGCACAAATTTTCCAGATCCCTCAAAGAAACAGAAGAGCAGTTAGATCATTTAGAACCTCACAACATAAAAAGAGGAGTTTGTCTCTCACTGTGAATGCACCAGCACATTATTAAATGAACTGAAGACTTAAGAGAATTCAAAAGCCTAATAAGCATACATCAAATGATTTTCTTCCGTGACAGTAAGAGGCTTTTCAAGAATCAATTCCATTGGAGAACAGCTTCCCAATCCACATTTTAAACTCTTGTTTTCTCCTTCACCTTTGGACATTTCACATATGTTATCTGCTAAATCATTCATACCTATCTGAGTGTACGGCTATTCTCTCCACTCTTCTCAAATTCCACTAATATTTTCTATGCTGCAGAAGGTAACCAGGTCTAGCTTAAAGACTTTCCAGCACAACCTTTCTTTCTCTCAACAGCAACTGGGCTAAGTAATGCACAATCAACTCCCAGCATTACCCTCAGGAGAGATCTAGAACAGTGGGTCTGTTTAAAGTTCTGAAATTATAGGAGATGGTCTAATCAATAAGAGTCTGCCTCCCTTAATATGAAAATGCTGGAGTAATGAGAATTATAGTTTGCATGTACTAGATGAAAGATGAATGCTTGTTGCAATAGTAGAGGAACTGCAATGCCACAGTCAACCAGGGAAGCAAAAAATTATAGAATCTGAAAAGAAAATGAGAAAAAAAATCTCCTTAACTTAGAAATTACACACAAAAGTCCAAAGACACAAATGAGAACATGTTTGTTAAGCCTGGCTCACTGCTGTAGCCAGTCTTTAAACAAGTCTTTAAATATTAGATTAGATGGCTGTTTTCAAGTTTCCAAATTTCATAAAAGGATCACATGACATAAAAAAATAAAATATACCCCATTTGAAGAAATAAATTTCCAAAACTCAATCCTTAAGAAAAGAAGATCTTTGCATTATCTGACAAAGATGTCAAAATAATGATACTAATTATGCTCAATAAGAACAAAAACAAAAGAACTCAGAAGAAATTGTGGAACAGAGAAATAATTGTTGAAAAACTGTGTAGAGTCACAACAGAGTAATTGACCAGAAAACAAAAATCAGAAAACTAAAGACATGTTATTTATAAATATTGAGTCATGAAAAACAAAAACAAAAAAAATTGAAAAACATCAACATGGAATATGTAACTTATTAGATATCATCAAGGAGACCAATATATTCATGAAAGGATTCTTTGAAGAAGAATGCAGGGGAAAAGTCGTAGGTAGAGAGGTTATTTGAAGAAAAAAGGGACAAGGAACTTCCCAAATTTCAAGGTGATGAAAAAAAAATGCTACCAACCAAGGATACTTAATCTGGGAGAAATTTACTTTAACAATAAGAAAAAAATAAAGACTTTCTACTATGAACAAAAGGTAAGGGTGTTCATTACCCTTAGAAGAGTCTTATAAGAAATACTACATGGAGTCCATTATGTTGACAGACATGGTGGTTCACACCTGTAATCCTAACAACTTTGTAGGCTAAGGCAGAAGCAGCATCATTTTAGGCCAGGAGTTTGAGACCAGCCTGGGTGATATGGTGAGACCCCTTCTCAAAGAAGAGACCATCATAATAATTTTGTTTTTCAGGGAGAGGGTTTTAAAACCTGCTAGGGCTAAAGATTGATTGGAGTCATTTCGAAAAGGCAGGCCCTCATTCAGGTGGCAAACGTGAAAACCCTTGGTCTTGGCTGCGACTAAGAAATAGGTCACCTATTTTGACCCCAGTTAAAACTCTGCAGTGACTCCATAACCATCTCCAGCTCCTTCCACCCATAGTCTAGGAATGGTTCTGCACATCCAGGGTCCCAGAGAAAGATGCCTATTTGTGGTTACAGCAGCAGGTCTGCAGACCTTGGCCTTTACTGTGCTCTCTGAAACAGTTCAGTGATTCAGTTTCAGCATGGATAGTCACAGTTTGTGGCCAGTTCTGCCAACCTAAGTACACAGAGGAGTACCTGGGGAAATCCTGCCACATATTTAGTAAGAAACACACATCAGGCCCACCATATACCAACCCTAAAGCACAACACTGCCCTAGAGCTAGCCCTACAGATCAAAGTCCTAAACACAATTCAGTCTGCCAAAAAATAACATATGATTAGCAACTACCCAGGCTCCTAGTAACAAACCCACAAAAGGCAAACTCCACAACAGAACAAGAAGTAGCCATGTGACCCACGTATAACTCCTCTGCACTGCATACCCAAAAAGATTCTATCAGCTAATTGACCCAAGATAAGATTTTTATCTGCTGAAATCCGTCTATAAAATTGGAAAATTTAGATTCAATAAATCCTTGATTAAAATTTTAGTAAAAATTTTCAAAGTAATAGAAAATGCAATCTTAAAATTTATATGGAATTACAAGAAACTTTGAATAGTCAAAGCAGTTCTGAGAATTAAAAACAAAGCTAGGGACATTATACTTTCTGATTTTAAACTACATTTGAAGACTATTGTAATAAAAACAGCATGATCTGTGCATAAAGATGCACACTGATATCAGTGGAGCAAAATGGAGAGCCCAGAAACAAATCCATCCTTGTAAGATCAACCAATCTTTGACACTGAGGCACTGAGAATACACTATGCAGAAAGTACAGTCTCTTCCATGCTTAGGGCTGGGAAAAAGGAATACCCACAAGTAAAAGAATAAAATTAGACCATTTTTCTTACACTGTATTTAAAAATTAACTAAATATAAAATAAGGACTCTAATGTATGACAAAATTCTTAATAATCTTAAAAGAAAATATATTAAAAAACCTTAATATTGGTCTTCAAAATAAGTTTTGGGATACGACAGCAAAAGCACAGCAATAAAAGCAAATACAGACAAATTAAGCTGCATCAAACTGAAACACTTCTGCACAACCAAAAAAAAAAAATAGAATAAGAAAACCATATCTGATAAGTGGCTAGAATCAAAAATATATAAGAAACATACAAATAGAAGGTAACAACTATAATAATAATAATAATAAGATGTAAAAGATAAGCCAAAGACTAAATGTTTATTAATGAAAACATTTAATGGGGCAACAGGTATATAGAAAGGTGCTCAATGTCACCAATCTGGCAGATGCAAATTAAATTCATGGTGAGATACTACTTTATATCTGTCAGGATTGCTAATATCAAAAAGAAGATTTATAACAAGTGTTGACAAGAATATATTAAAGAAAAGAAATGCTTTACCTTCATGGTGATGTGTAATTTTTTAGAGACATTATGAAAACCAGTATGAAGGTTCTTTAAAAAATTTTTAAATAGTACTACTGTACAATTTAGCTATCTCAAGTCTGCATATACAATAAATTTACTATCTCAAAGAAATACCAGCAGCTCCGTGTTCATCGAAGCATTTTTTGCAATTGTCAAGATAGGAAAGCAATCTAAAGTGTTTGTGGAAACTGACTGCACAAAGAAAACATGGTATATATACAAAACCGAATAGTATTCAGCCATAAGAAGTAAGAAAACCCTGCCATTTCCACAACATGGATGGACCTAGATGACATTATGCTAAGTGAAACATGAAAGAAACACAAAGTATAATCTCACTTCTATGGAGAATATAAGGTTGGACTCCTAGAAGAAGAGAGTACAGAGGTGAGTGCTAGGCCCTAGAGGTGGGGAAAGTGGGACATGTTGTTCAAATGGTACAAATGGTCAGTTAAAGACAAATAAGTTATGGTAGCCTAATGTACAGCTTTATGACTATAGAAAGTAATACTGTTAGGTATGCTGAAAATTTGCTGAGAGATCTTAATTGTTCTCACTACAAAAAGGTAAGTATGTAAGGTCATAAATGTGTTTGTACACTAATTTGATTGTATTAATCATTTCTTTATGTATACAGATATAAAATCAATACACTGTATATAATATATAGATATTCAATTATTTGTGAAAAAAATTTGTTACTGAGATTATATACATGTGTGTCATACACATACATAAATGTGTTTATAAATATATACACATATGAATGAGTCACAGTAAGCTTTATACTCAATAAAATCACAAAATGATGTTATTTAACATTAAGTTAAAATTGAGAGTTTAATACGTACTCAGCAATGTTTCAAGCTCCCCAGTGACACAGTATATTTAATAAATGTATGAAGTAGATACACTGAACTATATTACAGTTGAGGACTTTGGCCATATTTACCAATACTTGCTTATATGAAAAGAATAATATTTGAAGTAACACAATTTTAGAGTTGTTTCATTTAGGGAGATGCTTACTGTTTTGATATAATTACTGAGTATAAATTTCCATAAAATCACATTTGAAGCCTCCAGAGAATAGAAAATTATAAACCAGCAAGCAAACATCTTTTTGTGGTGTTCCTGGGATTTCTGATCCAAACTGCAATTATCACCAAAACTTATATATTTAGACATTATCCAAAAAGAGAACTTAAAAAATGGTTTAATATAGAGTTTCTCAAAAATACAGATATTGCTGTTTCTCCCAAGCAATAGAAAAGCAGTCAAATGACACATTTTCTTTTAAGCCATGAAAAAGACTTTCATTAACACTGTAAACTCAAAGGAAAAAAAAAAAAAAAGCAACAACAACAAAGCACATTACTGAAGGGAAAGTACAGTGCTTGCAAAATTCACAAGAACAGGGCAAAAAATTCCCCTATGTTAAAGCAAGAGAAAGAAATGAAGGCTTCTCAGAAACTATTTCCACTGGAGCAGAGTTTCTGGAAGCATGTTTAAAGGTCTGGCTTCCTCCTTGACATTGGGTTCTGTCATTTGTGTCATTTGCTTCATTCACTCCCACCTACCTGGGTGTTTGGCTACCGTCTTCTGTCTCTTCACACTCCAGGGCTTTCTTCGCTCCAGACAGGTCATCAAGTCTGGCTTAAAGATAGCAAGACCTGTTTTAGTAGAAAAAAATAACATGACTCTTGCTAGGATAATCCGATTACCAATCTTGTACTGTGCTGTGCTCAGTAGAGAAGAAAGAATATTATAGAAGACTCTAGAAAATTAATTCCAATTTACTGTTTCATAATATGAACTTTAGAATATTTAGAAAGCATTTTAAATGTGTGAGTTCTCAGCTCTATTACCCAGTAATACTGAATCAAAAGTCAGTTGTGAAAATTGCATTTTTAAGTGTGGGTAACAATATTTTATGCTATAAATTTCTGATATTACCACTAATTTAGACTGAAGTATACAGATGAGCTCAAAAAAGGGAAAGATTAATGTTGAGATGAAACATCTTAAAGCTTGTATTTTCTACCTGAACAGATACCCAATTTTTTTCTTTTTGAAGCAGGATTCTGGAACTCACTTATGCAAAGCAGAACTTCCAAAAAAACCCAAAAAAACAAAAACAAAAAGAACAATAAAATATTTAGTGTAGAATGTGAGTTGTATATTGAAGTTATTCTCACCCAAGGAGACCAGGTTTCTGTAGTTCTCTAACATCACATCCCTATACAAACACTGCTGAGCAGAGTCCAGGCATTCCCACTCTTCTGGGGAGAATTCTATGGCCACATCCCTGAATGTTAACACTCCCTGAAAAACAAAACATATTTACCAAGTGACCATAGAAAGAATTCTTGATTTGACATCAGGTAAAATGAGAGTAAAGAGAGCTGGTTCTGACTTATATGAGTTACCAAAGTTATCTGATAGGACACTTTCTAGCACAGAAATATTCTCTAATGTATTTTTAACTCTGAGAAAAGATGGCATAAGATCATGAAACCAGTGGATATACAATACTTTTCTTGATGATACAGTATAAAATAAAGGACATTAACACAGGCATGTACATTTCTTAATGCTATATTTACATAATACAAGATGAGTTGTCTATACTTCCCATATGGAAACTTCATGGTGAGTTAAAAGCATACTTCTCAAATCTTATTCTCAAGTCAATGAACAGGAGATCTTGTTAAAATGTAGATTTTGACTCTGAAGATCTAGGGTAAAGCTTGAGTTTCTGAATTGATAAATAGTTTGCCAGTGGTATCACTGCTTCTGGCCCAAGGAAAATATTTTGTCAAAAATTCACTAAGTGGCACAGCCTAGGTTTTTAGTTTATTTGGCCAATAAAGAAAGATGAGAGCCTTCGTTTTCCATAGGAAGCTATATGCAAAGAGAAGGTAAGAAGAGCTATCAGATTAAATGTGGTTTAATCTTGTTCTTGCACATCACTTGCTAAAACTTCCCAAAGTACCTATTAAAAATAAATAGTAAAATAATTAACTCTAGAGTGAAAAAAAAAGTCAAAGAACATATTTACCAAGTAAATAAGTGAAGACCAACTCTATTAAAAGAAATTTGTATCAGGTGCTGATTAACAAAGAAGGATATGACACTGCTGTGCTATTATTAACACAAAAAAGGATCAACTTAATCTGAGTCTAGTCATGAAGAAACATCAGTTTTAAGCAAAAACTTAAGCTACAAATATCTCCCATGTTCAGTAATCTCTAATGGTGTGTATAAATAAGTCTTTGTCTTTTTTGATTAAACTTCTTTTTTTTAAAAGTTCTGGGATACATGTGCAGAACGTGTAGTTTTGTTGCATAGGTATACGTGTGTCAAGGTGGTTTGCTGCACCCATCAACCTGTCATCTACGTTTTAAGTCCCACATGTGTTAGGTATTTGTCCTAATGCTCTCCCTCCCCTTATCCCCAATGCCCTGACAGCTCTTGGTGTGTCATATTCCCCTTCCTGTGTCCATGTGTTCTCATTGTTCAACTCCCACTTATGAGTGAGAACATGCGGTGTTTGGTTTTCTGTTCCTGTGTTAGTCTGTTGAGAATGATGGTTTCCAGCTTCATTCGTATCCCAGCAAAGAACACTCTTTTCTATGGCTGCATAGTATCCCATAGTGTTTATGTGCCACATTTTCTTTATCCAGTATATCATTGATAGGCATGTGGGCTGGTTCCAAGTCTTTGCTATTATAAATAGTGCTGCAATAAACATACATGTGTATGTGTCTTTATAGAATGATTTATAATCCAATCACAGGATTGCTGGGTCAAATGGTATTTCTGATTCTAGATCCTTAAGGAATTGCCACACTATCCGCCACAATGGTTGAACTAATTTGCACTCCCAAGAATAGCAAAAAAGTGTTCCTATATCTCCACATCCTCGCCATCATCTGTTTCCTGACTTTTTAATGATCACCATTCTAACTGGCATGAGATACTATCTCACTGCAGTTTTGATTTGCATTTCTCTAATGACCAGCGATGATGAGCTTTTTTTCATGTTTGTTGGCTGCATAAATGTCTTCTTTTGAGAAGTGTCTGTTCATATCCTTTGCCTACTTTTTGATGGGTTTTTTTTTTCTTGTAAATTTGTTTAAGTTCCTTGTAGATTCTGGATATTAGCCTTTTGTCAGATGGATAGATTGCAAAAATTTTCTCTCATTCTTTAGGCTGCATGTTCACTCTGATGACAGTTTATTTTGCTGTGCAGAAGCTCTTTAATTAGATCCCATTTGTCAATTTTGGCTCTTGTTGCTATTGCTTTTGGTATTTCAGTCATGAAGTCTTTGCCTATGCCTATGTCCTGAAGCCTAGGTTTTCTTCTAAGGTTTTTATGGTTTTACATTTAAGTCTTTAATCCATCTTGACTTAATTTTTCTATAAGGTGTAAGGAAAAGGTCCAGTTTGTTTTCTGCATTATGGCTAAACAGTTTTCCCAGCACCATTTATTACACAGGGAATCCTTTTCCCATTGCTTGTTTTCATCAGGTTTGTCGAAGATCAGATGGTTGTAGATGTGTGGTATTATTTCAGAGGCCTCTGTTCTGTTCCATTGGTCTATATTATCTGTTTTGGTACAAGTACCATGCTATTTTGGGTACTGTAGCCTTGTAGTATAGTTTGAAGTCAGGTAGCGTGATGCCTCCAGCTTTGTACCTTTTGCTTAGGATTGTGTTGGCTATATTGGCTTTTTTGGTTCTATATGAAATTTAAAGTAGTTTTTTTCTAATTCTGCAAAGGAAGTCATAGGTAGCTTGATGGGAATAGCATTTAATCTACAAATTACTTTGGACAGTAGGGTCATTTTCACGATATTGATTTTTCCAATCCATGAGCATGGAATTTTTTTCTATTTGTTTGTGTCCTCTCTTATTTCCTTGCTTTAGCATACTAGAGAAGGAGTCTCTTCTAATTATTTTTTATTCAGAACTTTCTGAGTTATCCTGGGCAGTAAAGAACATTCTCATTAAATGTGTGTTTTTTTCAGCCGTTTTGCATAAATTTAATGGAAGCTAAACAGTATATGGTCTCCTCCACTGATAACCAAGGACCTGATCCCATCTCAAACAAGAATCTTGGGCATCCACACCTTTCCAGGTTCTATAGCCACAAAAGGAACATTTGTAATGGTGCAGGCTAAATTCATGGTAACAATTTTTTCATGGCTTATTAAGACCTGGGATGTATGGAATAAAGAGAAGGCTCTAGTATATAAGAAAATAGTATTTCTCAGAGCCCCTTGACTAGTATGAGAATAAAAAGTGAAAAAGGAGTTAAACTGATTAGGTAAGAATATCACAAGTAGAGAAGTAAACATTTGCAAGTTCTACACACATGATATTTCAGAAGAAAAAGTGGACACAGTCTCTGACCTGACACACAGTCACCTCAGAATAAGCCATTTCTTTTTCTCCTCCTTCTCTGTGATCCCTTCCAGGTGTGATTATCTGCACAAATTAAACCCGTTTCTTGAGAATACACTTTTGAAGCATCAGTGAAACTCCTTCCCTTGAAACCACTACACCCACAGGCAGAAGGACCTAGAATTGCAGATAAAGTCTGCCTTTGTTTGTCCTTTATCGCAGGAGAGGTTCAGAACCAGTAAACTCCTGTATAAAAACAAAATGTGAGTTCCCCCTTTCCAATACTCACTGCCCTTCTCTGCCATAGATGCCAGCAATTTCTACTGCAGCAATGGGAATACGGGCCACATTGACCTGCCCCTACCAAACCCAAGCAGAGCAGTCTCTATGATCTTTATTTGGGACTAAAACTAAACTCACCTCTCGTGAATGTATCTGAAAGCACTCATGGTTGACCCTGGGCTCACCTTAGCCTCACACGCAGCACTTAATTCAAACAACATGGCTGCAGAGGGGAAGTGGAGCAAGATGACTAAATAGCACCCTCCAGCAACCACCCCCGGAATAAAACACCAAATAGAATGACTACCAAAATAAGCATCTTCATAAGAGCAAAACTCTGGGGAGTGGTCACAGGACCTAGTTTTAGCTTTAGCATCACATGAAAGAGGCACTCAAGAGGGTAGACAAGAAAGCCATTCATTGCCAACAGCAGCCCTCCTCCATTCCCGGGCAGTGCAGCTTGGCACAGAGAGAAAAATCCATGCGCTTACAGAAGAGAGAGCACAGTGATTGTGAGACTCTGCAGTAAAACTCAGTGCTGCATGTCACAGCAGAAAGCAACATAGGGCAGAATTCAACCAGAGCCTACGGATGAAGCACTCAGACTAGCCATAGTCAGAGAGGAAGTGTCCATTTCAGTAATCAAAACCTGGGTTTCAGGTAGCCCCATCACCATGGGCTAAAGCACTCTGGGGTTCTAAATAAACTTGAAAGGCAGTGTAAGCCATTGGGACTGCAATTTCTGGGCAAATCCTGGTGTCTTGTGAGATGCCAACTGGGATGGCCAAGAAAGTGCCTGCATCATCCTTACTCCAGGCACAGGCAGTGCAGTTCACAGCTCCAGGAGAAAATCTTTCTTTCTACTTGAGGAGAGGCGAAAGAAGAGTAAAGAAGACTTTGTCCTGCAACTTGGACATCATCTCAGCCACAGTAGAATACAGCACCAGAAAAAGCCCTGAGGGCCCCCATTCTAGGACTTAGTTCCTGGGTGACAGTTCTAGACATAGCCTGGGCCAGAAGAGAACACACTGCCTTGAAGGGAAGATACCAGTTCTAGCAGATTCATCACCTTGGGCCACGAATAAACATCGGCAGTAACCAAGTAGTATTTGCTGCAGCCCCTGGGTGGTGAGACCCAGTGCAGTGCAATCCAAGCTGTGGCCGCCATGTGGAGAGACTCCTGCTTGAGGAAAAGAGAGGGAAGAGAAAAGAGACTTTGTCTTGAAGCTTGATTACCAGCTCGGCCATAGTGAGGTAGCAGTAACAAGATAGCTCTTGAGGTTTCTGATTTCAGGCCTTGGCTCCTGGATGACATTTCTGGAACTACCCTGAGCCAGAGAAGAACCCACTGCCCTGAAGCAAAAGAAGCAGGCCGGGCAGAGTTCACCACAAGCTGACTGAAGAGCCCCTGGGTCCTCACTGGATATCAACAGTAGCCTAGCAGTACTTGCTATGGGCTCTGGGTGGTAGGAGAGAAAAGAGTAGGAAGAATGTTGCCTCATGGCCTCAGTGCCAGCTAAGCCACAGCAGAATAAGGCACCAAGTAGATTCCTAAGGTTTCTGACTCCATGTTCTTCCTACCAAATGGCATTTTGCTCTCCCCAGCCCAGGGTAGGTAACAGAGCTCACCGCTCT